TTATAAATATGATGTTGCTATTAAAATGACATCAAATTTAATATTGTATTAGTTAATATAAGCTATACATAATATGATTAAACTTAATTTAAATGAAGGTAGCATTCAATATACTAATACAATTACTTTAACTAAAAAACTGCTAAAGTAATGAAAAAAGAAGCAGATATTACAAAAAATTAGATTTGTTAATTAATTTTATAATAATTTTTATTTTTTTTATATATTTTATAAATAAAAAAATCATTAAAATAAAGGTCTGATTATACTGATTTAATGTTTAATTATTTTATTAATAAAAAATAATTAACTTTACGCATCTCTAACAAAATTTAAAATTTATAATTTAAATAAATAAAATAATTATAAATAAAGTATTTAAATTATTATAATATATAATTTTTATAGTTTTAAAATATTAATTTATTAATAATAATATTTTAAATCAATTCAAGTCAAGTCAAGTTTGATTTGAGTTTAAATCGAGTTGAGTTAAATATTTAACTTGATTTGAATTTAGCATAACTTACAAATTACATATGATTTAAATTTAAAAGTTATCTAATGTGCTATCACATCTAAATAAAGTAAATAAGCTGATGAATTCTAAGTATCTATTGTTAAAAGAAATATATTATATTTTGATGAGTTGATTTTTAAGTACATTTTTTCTATTTCATAAATTGTTAAAATTTGATCTTTAAGAGTCTTAATACAAGGAATTCTATAATATTGATCAAAGTTATTTATTATATTAATGAAATTTGGAACCTCTATAATACATAAAAGTTGTATTGTATTAATAACAAATCCTACAACATTTTGAGTTAAGGATTCTTGTTTAGAAGGATGATATGGTTTAATTTCATCAGATTGTTGAGGATTGCATGTTAATTCTTTTTTATTACATTTTATTGCAATAGCTTTACTAATATTATGAGTATCTAACAAATGTATTTTCATTGAACTTGAATCACACCATGTAAGTATTTTCTCATAACCTTCAATTTGACAAATAGTTTTAGTATTATCTTCATTGATTATGAAAAATTTCCATACCCAACTTGTTTTAGGTTTTTTATTTTTAATTGAAGGATTTTTTTTTCTTTTTTGATGAAGATTTATTATTAATTTCTATATCATCAACCATTATAATATTTGAATTGTATTATCACTAATTACTTGTACTGTTAGCACAACTATTTTCAGATTGAATATCTGTTTCATCATCATAGTCGGAATCACTTTCACTTTCTTGAATTATTTCTTCTGTTTATTTCTTGTGCTAAGTTTCTCTATTCCAATTTCTTTGCTTCTTTAAGCATGCCATAAGGTTTTTTTTTTTAATCAAATGTAAGAAAAGTTTGAAGTTTTGATAGCGCCGATCTATCAACTATTGACTTTTAAATAATTATGGTTAGACACTTTTCAACATGTGCTGATCAGTATATTATGTGTCATATATCGTCATAAAAAAAAGATTCGATTTTTATTAGAATCGATTCCAATCCCTAACCTCATCTTTAAATTGGTTTCGTACTTAGTTTCAAATATTTGAATAAATTCGTACTATATAGCTTTAATTTTCTTTTTATTAACAAAAGTTTAATTTAAAACAAAATAGAATGATGACCAAATTTGGTACCATAAAGCACAGATCATAATGAAAATCTCAATAAAAGAATCTCATTCTAGAAACAGTAGATTAGATTACAAAGGTCTACTGATTGAGAAATTACAATTTTTAATTTTTAAAGGAATTCGACTTTGATTTTCTTATAAAAAAGGCACTGATTTCAATTTACTCTGAATTTAAGAATTTTGGTAACAAACAAAACTAATATTCACCAAAAAAATAAAGTCAACTTCTCAAAGAAATTATAATCATGGACCGAAAATTTATTTTTGCATTCCTCTTATTGGTCACACTCACCATGGTCAATGCAATTCCACATAAACTTATTAAAAGAACCACCACCTTTAAACAATGTCCCCCACCAGAAGGTTCAACGACCCCACCTCCCTTACTTCAAGTGTCACTTTCAGCCGATCCTCCCGTCGCTAAACAAAAGAATACATTTACTGTTTCCGGAAAATTGTCAAGAGATGTTGCCGAAAATACCAGAATTGTGATTTCATTTGTTGATTTAAATAAAAATACCGTAATATTCGATGATTTTGTTTGTACTGATGTGCGATGCCCAATTAAAGCTGGTGACCAATTTACCAAAACGATGACAGTTGAAGTACCAGGCAACTTAACTAGTTCGTACGTTTTGACAGTTGGTGTTGGATATACATCTGAGCCTATAGGCTGTGCATTTGCTACTATATAGTTGACTCTGTTAAAACTTTAAAGCCATTATTTTTAAATTTTACGATTTTTTGATCTTTATTTTTTTTTGATCTTTGATAATCTTGAAACAAAATCATTTATTTTTCATTAACTACTTATTTATATATGTAATAATTTTTTAGCAAATAAATTTACAGCAGTTCGTTCACTTTTTAATTCTTTATTTCGTGTTGGCCGTTGATCTTAGTAATAG